CAAAAGTCGCGGAAATTACTTTTTTACCTCTAAATTAATTATAAAAATGATATTTGAAACTTCCAAAGCATGAAATCAAAGAAGAAAAGTAATATAATTAAAATAAAATAAAAATAAAATTAAATAAAATTAAATGTGAAATTTGAAAATAATAAATAAATATATTACTATTTAATAAAAAATAAAACGATAATTTCATTTAAATAAATTAAAATATAAATATAAATGTGAAATAAATTTGAATATAATATTTAAATATACTGTTTTTAATTGAAATAATATAATATATATAAATAATATTTACTTAATTTTTATATTATTTATATTTATAATATATTTATTCAATTATTATAATTTATAATATATAACATATTTACTCCATTATTATAAAATATAGATACTGCATTATTATATTACTTATAATTTATATTTATCATTATATTATTTATAACATATAATCTATTTATTCAATCATTATATTATTTAAAATATAGAATATATTTACTTAAATATTATATTACTTATAATTTAAAATATATTTACTTAATTATTATATTACTTATATTTTAGAACAATTTATTCATTTATAATAAAATCTACATACTTAATTATTATATTATTTATAATTTATAATTATCATTATATTTTAGAATATAGTTTATTCAATTATTATATTATTTATAATATAGAATCTATTTATTCAATCATTTATTATTTATAATTGAGAATATATTTATATATATTTATAATTTATAATGTATATATACTTAATTATTATATTATTTATAATTTAGAATATATATGTATAATTTTTATATTATTTTCTTTATACGTTATATATATAATATAATATAATATAATATAATATAATATAATATAATATATTATATATTATTGTATATTATTATATATTATATTATATATTATTATATATTATATATAATTTCTTTATACGTTATATATATATACATATATATAATCACATTCATATAAATACGTTATATATATATATATATTATTTTCTTTACATATAATTTAGAGAATATATATTATTTGACAGTAACGGCATAATGGTAAATACAATGATAAAGTAATGACATAATGATAAATTCAGTGATAAAGTAAAGGAATAATGGTAAATTCAGTGATAAAGTAAGGGTATAATGGTAAATTCGATGAAAAAGTAACGCCATCAGTATTAAAGTAACGGTGTTAACATCAAATTGCGAGTATGCACGCAGATATTAAATAGAAGGTGGTTTGACGCAATTTTTGAAATATAGGGGATAAAGCGCATATTTCATATAATACAGGGAGATTTGGTGCAATAAACCCAAAATTTCACTTATCCAACATGAAATTGAAAAATTTACAAATCTACCATCCATTAACTAATAATTGTGTCTCTACTTGATTGTCAAGATTTAACTACATTTATGCCTAAAATTCAGTTACCTAAAAAATGGACTCCATTCACTTTCCGTTCCCATGATTTCCGCCGTTTCCATACAGAAAAAAAAAACTTTGCCTTCATTGATATGGAAAGAAAATCAACCTTTTCCATAAAAAAAATTAGTCGTTTCCTTAATTCGCGCAACTTGTACATTTTTTAATAGAGAGAAATAAAAACATGTATTGTAATTCACGCAGTCGTTAGGTGGTATATATTGTGTTTATGTTAGTATATATTCAGTATATGTTGCAATGAAAACATGTATAACATGTTACTTATATTCCCTATACAAAAAAAAAAAATCTTCTAACATATTGAGCATATACTCTCTATGCACACAACGTATACTGAACAATGTACAAAAAAATCTTTTAATATACTGAACATATACTCCCTATACACACCGCATATACTGCATGCCTATACACGCGACA